AGTGTCTCACCTCACACCCCCACAAGGCTTCATGTGTTTTGTCAGCTAAAATATATAATAATCCCCAACACTTTAGCAGCTTCATAAATTCCTAACCTAATCTACAAGATCCTATGATTATCTTCAGTGTGGAGCCGGAGATTTTCACAGTCATGAGTATCTAAACCCAGCACAGGTTAATGGTGTGAGGGATCCTGGCAGGTTTACTACTTTACTTACTTAAATGCTAGTGGCAGGGGGGAAGGAGGTTCAGGGGAAGGATAAAGGGGGGATTGAAGTGAATTTTAGAAGGGGGTTTAAGTAGGAGGTAGCAGCAACTCGCCTGGACGCGGCGAGGAGGCGGCAGGACAGAGTCAGGTGAGCGTCAGGTCAAGCGTGAGGTGCGTGTTGGGTTGGGCCATGGTTTCTCAGTATTTGGTCGGCTTGATTGTGTGTGTTGTTTTCTTGTTTGGAGGAAATGTCTTGGTCTTCTGTCTTCTGTCTTGGTATTCTTGTTAGCTTGAAGTTGATTTTCTTCTTACTCTCCTCTTCCTCTTGCTATCTTGAAATGTCCATTCATTCGTGTTTGGGTCTTGTTCTTCGTCTTCATCGTGACTTAGGTTTTCGTAAGTGTGGATGAAGTCGGAGACGGTGAGGTTGACCACGTGGGCTTCTGCTCCTGGGGCCTCGTGGTGTTCTTGATTCTTTGTGACTTGTGTCTTTTCTTGAGTTTTCTTTTTTTTATTTTTATTTTCTTCTGGTCTTTTCTTGTCTTGGGCGCGTACAACAAGGAGGGCCTCTTTGTAGCTCAGTTTCTTGTCAAGTCGAGCCTTGGCTATCCTGCATTCCTCCTTCCATTTGGGGCAGGTCCGATCGGCGGAGGAATGTGGGCCGCCACAGGCAGCGCATTTTTTAACATAAGAACATAAGAAAATAAGGAGTCTTCAATAGGCGGTTGGCCTGTGCATGGCAGCTCCTGTCGAGAGTTACAACCACTCTCTATCATCCATGAATCTATCTAGCCTCCTTTTGAAACTTTCCAGAGTTCCAGCACTTACTACAAAGTTGGTAAGCTTGTTCCACTCGTCCACCACCCTATTTGTGAACCAGTTTCTTCCTATCTCCCTCCTAAACCTAAACTTATCCAACTTAAATCCGTTGCTCCGAGTCCTATCCTGCTCGGATATTATAAGAACTTTATCTATATCCCCTTTATTGATTCCTTTCACCCACTTAAATACTTCTATCATATCTCCCCGCACTCTTCGTCTTTCTAGGGAATGCAAGTTTAGTTTCTTTAACCTATCCTGATATGGAAGGTTTCTAAGTACCGGAATCATTTTCGTCATTCTTCGCTGCACCGACTCTAGTGAATTGATATCCATTCTATAATAAGGGCACCAGAAGTGAACCGCATAATCGAGGTGCGGCCTGACTAGCGCAAGATATAGTTGCAATAAGACCTCTGCACTCTTATTACTTACACTTCCAGATACAAAACCCAATACTCGGTTTGCCTTATTTCGAACATTAAGGCACTGTTTCCTAGGCCGTAGGTCCGGGCTTACAAGTACCCCAAGGTCTCTTTCACAAGTCGACTTCTCTAGGTTGATGTTGTTAAGGCTGTATTCATTGACAGTATTTATTCTTCCAATATTAAGTACGCTGCACTTGCTGGTGTTGAATTTCATTGGCCATTTTTCAGACCACCCCTGCAGTTTATTTAGATTCTCCTGTAATGCATTTGCATCTTGCCCTGAATTAATCTGCCGCCCTATTTTGGTGTAATCCGCAAACTTGCTTATGTCACTGCTGATCCCAGTCTCTAGATCGTTTATGTAGATTATGAACAAGAGTGGGCCTAGTACTGACCCCTGGGGAACCCCACTGGTTACACGGCCCCACTCAGATTTAACACCATCTACGCTGACCCTCTGCGTTCTATCGGTGAGCCATGATTTTATCCAATTTAAAACTTTCCCCTCGATACCATGAGCCTTAATTTTTCTCAGAAGCCTCTGATGCGGTACTCTGTCAAATGCTTTGCTAAGGTCTAAGTAAATAACATCGTAATTTTCGTCATTATCTACTACCTCGAAGACTTTCCTAAAAAACGTCAGCAGATTTGTTAGACAAGATTTTCCCTTTGTAAACCCATGTCGAGAGTCGTAGATTAATTTGCTTTTCTCTAAATGCCATCGGATGCTATCTGCTATAATTAATTCAAGAAATTTCCCCACTACTGACGTCAAACTGATCGGCCGGTAATTTGACGCTGATGATCTGTCTCCCTTTTTGAATATGGGTACTACATTTGCTTGTTACCACAAGTCTGGCACAACTCCAGTGTCTAATGATTTTGTAAATAAATTTACGAGGGGTCAGCTAATCTGTTCCGTACACTCTTTCAAGACTCAAGGGAAAATTTCATCCGGCCCTGGGGATTTTGTCTTCTTTAGTTTATTTATCCTCTTAAGAACATCCTCTTTTCCGATAGTGATATTTATTAATTTATTAATTTCTCTTCTTCCTTTCCCCTAAATATCAGTTCCACCTCTGGAATTTCCTTGTGAATTTCTTCTGTGAAAACTGATAAGAAGTAGCTGTTCAATGCCTTGCTTATTTCTTCACTGCCATTTATCACTTCTCCCCTCCCTGACTTTAAAGGCCCAACTTTGTCCTTGACCTTTGTTCTGTATACCTGGAAAAATCCCTTGGGATTTGCCTTGGATTCTCTCTTTCACTGTGCTAGGGCAGACAGTGTAGCAGTGTCTGGGGCTGCCGCACAGAGAGCAGGTGTCCTGCGCCTCACACTTGTTGACAGCGTTTCGGTCTGCAGTAGGGCTTGACTGGCACAGTTACCCACGTCAGTTGAGCCTCCTCGGGTAGGGCTGCATGGTGTCCGATGAGGGCAGTGGTGTCGGACAGCTTCTTGACAACTTGGAGTTGTCCCTCGAGGAGTTCGCTCAGTTCTGCTTGGTCCACGTGGGCAATTTCGGCGTGGGAGATTACTCCCGGCTTCAGGTTGTCCCATTTGTAGGCAATCATCTTTATTGGGATGCCGTTGATGTCTGGGATCTCCAAAAAGTTTCAAAGAACTTCTTGAGAACTAGGAGGTTTAATTTCTTGGGGCAGGTCGGCGTATCCGCTCCTCCAGATTGTGTTAGTTCTAAGTTTAGAAGCTCCAACAACTTTCCCTGCATACGAATTCGCAACCTTTCGATTTACAACAGGTATCTACTTACTGCTAGGTGAACAGGGACCAAGGGGCCGAGGAAGAGTGTCCAAACAACTTCCGCCTGCCCGGGAATCGAACCCGTGACATCTTGCTTGCGAGACAAGAGCGATACCGCTTCTACCACAAGCGCCCCTGGCAGGTTTATCGGTTGGCTGGCCTTAAATACCTCTGACCCTCCAAGGTCTAGCCAATGGGAGCAGGGCAGGTGTGTTAGCTACCACTGAGTGACAATGATAGTTAGCCATCGTTTACCAAGATTTACTTTACCATTTGCCGAGGCGAATGTTTCAGTACACCACCAGAGGAAGAGAACCACCTCCGCTCACCTCTTTTTATATTTAGCTTCCCCTAAAGTAATCTTGTTAGGTTAGGTTAGGTTGTAATGTGTCAGAGTAAACCACCTGGCTCTACAGGGATTTCAAGGACAGCTCACATTAGCTATGCGTGGGTTTTTTCTTGTGAAGAAACTTGACTATCATTCATTCGCCACTGTGAGAAATATGTCTTGATATGATAATGTACGAGAGAGATAATGGCTCTTTTACCTTTTCTTTTTTTCCAGTGATGATTATATATATATATATATATATATATATATATATATATATATATATATATATATATATATATATATATATATATATATATATATATATATATATATATATATATATGATAACCAAGAAAGAAAACACGAAGTTCCCAAGCAGAACTTTTTCATTTATCACCTTGCACCTACAGTGATTTACTTGCATATATATATATATATATATATATATATATATATATATATATATATATATATATATATATATATATATATATATATATATATATATATATATATATATATATATATATATATTGATATTGTGAATACAATCATTAAAATGAATAATTTACGTCACTAAGGCTATAAATTTAAGTTACATTTGCACAAGAGTCGTGAAAACATACAGGTACAGTACAAAAATATTATTTACAACATTGTTTGTAATGTGTACAATGTAGTTTGTTCTAACAGCATGAAGCCTGAAATTCACTATAAATAGACCGTTTTGGGCCTAATGGAACGATGCAAATTATTATTACGTTTAAACTAAGTCATATTCATATCCCAGGCATTCATCATAGTGACATATATTGTTGTGCAGTAGAACAAGTCAGTGAATGCTAACGAAAGCGTCCTTCAGGTGGGCGGTGTAGTCACAGCTGACCACGTGACGACAAGGAAATATTATCAAACCACACGAAACACTTTTGTTCACTCGCCACAAAAAGTTCTCAAACAACTGCACACGACAGATTTCAGAATGATCACTGTGGCTCCTGTCACCTCAGGATGGTTGGTATGCCTGGTTGTGAAGTGATTCTCAATATTTCGTAATAATATATGTGGCTCGTCTTTATATTATTTACAGGTGAAAAGAAATAATTTACTTTTCAATAAAACCTCCCCATAGAGCAATGTTCAGATTTCCCATTCGTTTTGTCATATTGTATAATGCTTAGAGCGTTCGAGAACTTTTGTGGAGAGTGTATCTTTGAGAAATAAAGAATTTACTTAGTTATTTCCTTTTCAGTTTTGGATGCGACGGTCTTCTGAGAGAACACGGAACTATAACTCATCCTATGTGATACGACAACACTTTTCCCAAAATTCTCAAAAGCCTCTACGGTCTGAGGTTACGAGAGAGAAAGAAAGAGAGAGAGAGATACCCCAAGTTTCCTCTCGACTAATAAGGATCACACGTACAAACTGTCAATTCCCAGTGACATGAAGATGGAGCTCCTCAGCGCTTCCTTCATTACCACACTGCAGTTCCCGTCCCTCCTACTCCTGGTGGTACACATGGACATCACCCAGGGCACTTGTACAACAGTCGAGGGGCACAAGACTGGTGATTGTGTAGAACCTTGTACAACTCCGTCCGATGGAATACCAACTTGTAGAACTGAAATACAAAAACAAGGCTGGAACGGTGACTGTAATGCTGACTGTTCGGTTGATTACTGTAATACTGAGTGTCAGGAGAGGATTGCCTTGCTCTCTGGAGTTTCAATTACGACTACTCCACCTGCCACTCCTGAACCACAACCAACACCACCACAGGATACTACCACTCAAGAGAAGACTATAACAACACAGCTACAAACTACAACCATTCAAGCACAAACTACAACACAACAAACAACCACTCAACCACAACCAACACCGACACAACCACAGGATACAACCACCCAAGCGCAGACTACAACAGCACAACTACAAACAACCACTCAAGCGCAGACTACAACAGCACAACTACAAACAACCACTCAAGCGCAGACTACAACAGCACAACTACAAACAACCACTCAAGCGCAGACTACAACAGCACAACTACAAACAACCACTCAAGCGCAGACTACAACAGCACAACTACAAACAACCACTCAAGCGCAGACTACAACAGCACAACTACAAACAACCACTCAAGCGCAGACTACAACAGCACAACTACAAACAACCACTCAAGCGCAGACTACAACAGCACAACTACAAACAACCACTCAAGCGCAGACTACAACAGCACAACTACAAACAACACCAACTCAAGCGCAGACTACAACAACACTACAGACAACACCAACTCAAGCGCAGACTACAACACCCCAACAACAGACTACTACAACCCCTGCTGCTGCCGAGTCAAGCACGACAACCACAACAGGTGAGTCTATTAAAGGTAGAAATTGTGTGTGTGTGTGTGTGTGTGTGTGTGTGTGTGTGTGTGATTATGGCGATTTAGGTTGATCGGTTGTGGTAATTCAGGTTAATTATACGTGATTCAGGTTAACAGTACGTGATTCAGGTTAACAGTACGTGATTCAGGTTAACAGTACATGATTCAGGTTACTTATACGTGATTCAGGTTAACAGTACGTGATTCAGGTTAACAGTACGTGATTCAGGTTAACAGTACGTGATTCAGGTTAACAGTACGTGATTCAGGTTAACAGTACATGATTCAGGTTAACAGTACATGATTCAGGTTACTTATACGTGATTCAGGTTAACAGTACGTGATTCAGGTTAACAGTACGTGATTCAGGTTAACAGTACGTGATTCAGGTTAACAGTACGTGATTCAGGTTAACAGTACGTGATTCAGGTTAACAGTACGTGATTCAGGTTAATTGTACGTGATTCAGGTTAACAGTACGTGATTCAGGTTAATTATACGTGATTCAGGTTAATTATACGTGATTCAGGTTAACAGTGCATGATTCGGGTTAATTATGCGTGATTCGGGTTAACAGTGCATGATTCGGAGTTGATTATACGTGATTCAGGTTAACAGTACATGATTGTCGGGTTAATTATACGTGATTCAGGTTAACCAGTGCATGATTCAGGGGTTCACGGTACATGATTCGGGTTCACAGTACATGATTCAGGTTAATTATACGTGATTCAGGTTAACAGTACATGATTCAGGTTAATTATACGTGATTCGGGTTAACAGTGCATATTCAGGTTCTGATACGCTGATTCAGGTTAACGGTACATGATTCAGGTTAATTATGCGTGATTCAGGTTAACAGTACATGATTCAGGTTAACGGTGCATAATTCAGGTTCTGAGTACATGATTCAGGTTAATTATACGTGATTCGGGTTAACAGTACATGATTCCGGGTTAATTATACGTGATTCAGGTTAATTATACGTGATTCAGGTTAATAAATCGTGATTCAGGTTAATTATGCGTGATGCGGGTTAATTATACGTGATTCAGGTTAATTATACGTGATTCAGGTTAAATATACGTAATTCAGGTTAATTATGCGTGATGCGGGTTAATTATACGTGATTCAGGTTAATTATACGTGATTCAGGTTAATAAATCGTGATTCAGGTTAATTATATGTAATTCTGGTTAATTATACATAATTCTCGTTAATTATACCTAATTCGGGTTAATTATACGTAATTCAGGTTTATTATACACGATTCGGGTTAATTATACGTGATTTAGGTTAATTATACTAATTCAGGTTAACAGTACGTGATTCAGTTTAATTATACGTGATTATAGCTAATTATACGTGATTCAGGTTAATTATCCGTGATTCAGGTTAATTATATGTAATTCTGGTTAATTATAAATAATTCTGGTTAATTATACGTAATTCTGGTTAATTATGCGTAATTCAGGTTAATTATACGTGATTCGGGTTAATTGTACGTGATTCAGGTTAATTATGCGTAATTCAGGTTAATTATACGTGATTCAGGTTAATTATACATGATTCTGGTTAATTATACGTGATTCAGGTAAATAATTTTACAGTTTGTATCTAAGTGTATTAATATTTATTTTCTGCGATTCAAAACAAAAGTGCTGGTAACGCTGCAACACATTCTACAACTATTGGTAACACTACTGCAATACTACACCGTATTCTACAGCTCCTGCTAACACTGCTGCCTCTACAACTATTGTCAGTAACACTGTAACATATTCTACAACTACTGGTAACACTGCTCCAGCGTCTACAACTGTTGGTAACACTGCTCCAGCTTCTACAACAGCTGATAACACTGCTGCAGGTTCTACGACTATTGCCAGTAACACTGTAACATATTCTACAACAGCTGGTAACACTGCTGCAGGTTCTACGACTATTGCCAGTAACACTGTAACATATTCTACAACTGCTGGTAACACTGCTGCAGCTTCTACAGCAGCTGGTAACACTGCTGCAGGTTCTACGACTATTGCCAGTAACACTGTAACATATTCTACAACAGCTGGCAACACTGCTGCAGGTTCTACGACTATTGCCAGTGACACTGTAACATATTCTACAACAGCTGGTAACACTGCTGCAGGTTCTACGACTATTGCCAGTAACACTGTAACATATTCTTCAACTGCTGGTAACACTTCTCCAGCGTCTACAACTGTTGGTAACACTGCTGCATCTTCTACAACAGCTGGTAACACTGCTGCAGGTTCTACAAATATTGCCAGTAACACTGTAACATATTCTTCAACTGCTGGTAACACTTCTCCAGCGTCTACAACTGTTGGTAACACTGCTGCATCTTCTACAACAGCTGGTAACACTGCTGCAGGTTCTACAAATATTGCCAGTAACACTGTAACATATTCTTCAACTGCTGGTAACACTGCTGCAACTACTACAACCGCTGGTAACACTGCTAAACATGTATACATTGGCACAAATTTCGTAAGCACTGACACATATACTAACATTCAGCAACATTGTTACACCAGCACTTACCACTACATCACCATCACTACACAGCAGGGCATTTATCCACATCTTCACAGGGGGGCTCTCAACGAGGACACTCTAAAGACCAGGTCGGGGGACACTAAAATCAGTGCATACTGTATGATGTATGTTATGGATTTATGACTGTTACCGGTGTCACAAAGTAACGGGTGGGAAAGCATGTATGTAAATATACTGTATATGGTAATATACTGTACAACTGTTGTATTTTGGCATATGTTATGGTAACGTGTATATATATATATATATATATATATATATATATATATATATATATATATATATATATATATATATATATATATATATATATATATATATATATATATATATATATATATATATATATATATATATATATATATATATATATATATATATATATATATATATATATATATATATATATATATATATATATATATACCGTCATTGTGCGTGCAAAAAGCTTAATTTTATTAAATGAAAATTGTTATGCACATTGTACTAAACATAACTAAACTGTTAACAATATCAGTTGCCCTTAATTTGCATTTGGCATGATGCAGTTATGAAAAATTAAATACCAAATTATGTATATACACAATAAATAATCACCTTCACTGTATTTATCACTGCACAATTAACAAAAACTTATTTTACCTTAGGCACCGAAGGAAAACAATTCAAACTGCCTTTACGGTAAACAGTGTAAGCTGTACCAGCGTAATTACATACAACTATCCTCTCTTGCAATCCTTTTTATGAAATCTGTTTTTGTACACAGACATGTCTGGGGCTCCGCCTGTACTCCTATTTACAATTTGCTCAGCATTTTGATAACAGTTCAGTGTTCAGTTTTCTTCAAGACAAAGAACACATTGTGAATACAGTACAGTACTTAAGAAAGGTTACGAAATTGGAATAAATGAATGTCAACTGTAAAGTAAACTCACTTTATTTTAAATTCTGTATTTTTAGTAGTAAATGCGGAATAGGGTGGGTAAAAAAAAAACAAATTTCTCGACTGAAAGCTTAGAGTGAATAACCGGGGTGGGGGTGGGTAGGGGGGAGGGGGCGTTGGCTGGGAGGCATTTGTCCCTCCTCCTCCTTCAATGTAAAAAAATGCCCTGTTTATTCTTCAATTTTCTTCCACCCCTGTTGGGACAGATTTCACCAGTGACGGGACGACTGGCAACAGTGCTACACCTTCCGAGTCTACTAAGAAAAGTGAGTACGTGTATGTACAATATGTATATATACAGTATATCACTGAAATACTACTGTTGAAGATAAAACAAAAAATGAGAGCACTACATGTTGACCATAACCCCCGGTCCTCGTCAAAATAACTCTTTTTGAGCTTATCTTCTACAGTGGGATTTTAGTGTTATGATTTATGTGGTATTACATAATATACACACATTAATTTATCCATTCATATATATATATATATATATATATATATATATATATATATATATATATATATATATATATATATATATATATATATAAAATCCTAAAATAATTCAACTCTCCAAGACTAGAATTTATTAGAGTTGTCATATCTGTCAAACTTGAGAATAGTTCTCCACAGGAGAGCAAAGCCATATAATAAGACTTAATTTCTTAATGAATTCAGATCAGTTAAACAAAAATCAATAAAATTAAGATGTATAATTCATTTTTAATATAAATATTTACCTTTTCCTAAGCATGATACAACAACACAATAATCTTCCAAGTTTATGTTTACAAGAGAAGACACTATGGAGAGCCTCGTCTACCTTAACTTTATTTTTACTATTCTCTGGGTTATATTTCTTCCTTTATTTCTCTATGTATCTTCACTTCCTCACGTTCTTTCATCTGTTCCTCTGACCCAATCAACCTAACTTATTCCTTATCCTATACGAGATGGAAGTCAACTATTGTATGAATGTTATGATTATTCTTTGTATGTCTGCTGTTATTATTGTCTAGTTGATTGGTGGTTATTATGTGTTACAGTATAATTATTTATAATCTAGTATGTTTTCAGAGAAGTATTGCAAATTATGCAAAAGTTTGTAAAATGTGATTATATGTAGAATCTGCTAGCGTAGTATATTTTTTGGTGGGGGGGCTTAAATTAACGTACTTTAGGTTTGCAGTAATTGATAAGAAACCTTCACTCTGTATCGCTTTTGTATCCGAATGAATTATATAATACACTATGTGCTATTTTATATAACCCCAGGCTATTATAAAGTGATATATTTATGTTTACCTAACATTAAAAATACTTTAATGAAAGTTTTTTTATTTGTCCATTATGTATAAAATTTCTCTTAAGACTAAATTTTGATACAATAAAATGTGTACTGTATAAGATGAGTAATGGTTTAGCTAAAAATATAGCTTTGATAGTCCAACCAAGTGACAAACAGTGTATTAAATAACGAGAAAAAATTAATACAGAGGTGCATGTTAGCAAGGGAGTAAATCAACTACTGGGTAGGCTGTGACGGTGACCTACCTATTACTACCCTTAAGAACAAGTGAATGTGAACACTCAGGTACGCGTCCTATTATGAATGAAAAAAATCTGGGTTTATATTTACCAAAGGTTCACAAGTAAAAATTTCTCCCGCAACAGAAGATATGAGTATTGCTTTAAACTGTGGGACTTCTGTATCGGCTCAAGAACAACGGACTTGAAAGCTCAGAAAATGTACGAGATTCTACAGCAACTGACGTGATAACTCTTCATTATTTACAAGGGAAAAATAGTTACAGAATTTTTAAGAATATGAGTCATGGAGAGAACGTGAGGTCATAGTAGATACAGGGGTGATGAAAATTATAGACTTACCACGACAGAGATTAGATTACCATTTTTTTTTACAGGATTAGCCCACCAGCGCACAGGTCAATGACCCACATCAGGGTCTGGGGGGCGAAAATATAATAATAATAATAATAATAATAATAATAATAATAATAATAATAATAATAATAATAATAATAATAATAATAAATAAATAAATAAATAAACATATATACTGTATGTATATATATAAATATATATATATATATATATATATATATATATATATATATATATATATATATATATATATATATAATGATGATAACAATAGCATTAATAATAATAAAGGATCATAAATAAAAAAAAAAGATCACTAGCGAGAAACAATACATGTATGTTGTCTTGTCAAAGTAAGAAAAACAATTGAAACCCTGCAATTGTGAGTAAATAAGGCAGAAAGTCAGATGAGCAACCTGGGACTTGGTCACAATTTTCGTGATGCCATATGGCAGCAGGGTCTACCATTAGACAACACATTATGCTTCCAATATCTTCCCAGGCGGTAGTACCTCCGGAGGAGACAGTAATGATAAATCCTCGCAGAATATATAACTCATATTCTATGAAATCAGCAAAGAGAGACTATGAAATCAAAATAGCAAGGGAATCCAAGGCGAATCCCAAGGGATTTTTCCAGGTATATAGGACAAAGGTCAAGGACAAAGTTGGACCTTTAAAGTCAGGGAGGGGAGAAGTGATAAATGGCAGTGAAGAAATAAGCAAAGCATTGAACAGCTACTTCTTATCAGTTTTCACAGAAGAAATTTGAGATGAAATTCCAGAGGTGGAACTGATATTTAAGGGAAAGGAAGAAGAGAAATTAAGGAATATCACTATCAGAAAAGAGGATGTTCTTAAGAAGATAAATAAACTAAAGAAAACAAAATCCCCAGGGCCGGATGAAATTTTCCCTCGAGTCTTGAAAGAGTGTAGGGAACAGATTAGCGGACCCTTCGTAAACTTATTTACAAAATCATTAGACTTGTGGAAACAGGCAAATGTAGTACCCATATTCAAAAAGGGAGACAGAGCATCAGCGTCAAATTACCGGCCGATCAGTTTGACGTCAGTAGTGGGGAAATTTCTTGTATCAATTATAGCAGGTAGCATCCGATCACATCTAGAGAAAAGCAAATTAATCTACGACTCTCAACATGGGTTTACAAAGGGAAAATCTTGTCTAACAAATCTGCTAACGTTTTTTAGGAAAGTCTTCGAGGTAGTAGCTAATGACGAAAATTACGATGTTATTTACTTAGACTTTAGCAAAGCATTTGACAGAGTACAGCATCAGAGGCTTCTGAGAAAAATTAAGGCTCATGGTATGGAGGGGAAAGTTTTAAATTGGATAAAATCATGGCTCACCCATAGAACGCAGAGGGTCAGCGTAGATGGTGTTAAATCTCAGTGGGGCCGTGTAACCAGTGGGGTTCCCCAGGGGTCAGCACTAGGCCCACTCTTGTTCATAATCTACATAAGCGATCTAGATACTGGGATCAGCAGTGACATAAGCAAGTTTGCGGATGACACCAAAATAGGGCGGCAAATTAATTCAGGGCAGGATGCAAATGCATTACAGGAGGATCTAAATAAACTGCCGGGGTGGTCTGAAAAATGGCAAATGAAATTCAACACCAGCAAGTGCAGCGTACTTAATATTGGAAGAACAAATACTTATAATGTATATAGCCTTAATAACATCAACCTAGAGATGTCGACTTGTGAAAGAGACCTAGGGGTACTTGTAAGCCCGGACCTACGGCCTAGAAAACAGTGCGTTAATGTTCGAAATAAGGCAAACAGAGTATTGGGTTTTATATCTAGAAGTGTAAGTAACAAGAGTGCAGAGGTCTTATTGCAACTATATCTTGCGCTAGTCAGGCCGCACCTCGATTATGCGGTTCAGTTCTGGTGCCCCTATTATAGAATGGATATAAATTCACTAGAGTCGGTGCAGCGAAGAATGACAAAAATGATTCCGGGACTTAGAAACCTTCCATATCAGGATAGGTTAAAGAAACTTAACTTGCATTCCCTAGAAAGACGAAGAGTGAGGGGAGATATGATAGAAGTATTTAAGTGGGTGAAAGGAATCATTAAAGGGGATATAGATAAAGTTCTTATAATATCCGAGCAGGATAGGACTCGGAGCAACGGATTTAAGTTGGATAAGTTTAGGTTTAGGAGGGAGATAGGAAGAAACTGGTTCACAAATAGGGTGGTGGACGAGTGGAACAAGCTTAGCAACTTTGTAGTAAGTGCGGGAACTCTGGAAAGTTTCAAAAGAAGGCTGGATAGATTCATGGATGATAGAGAGTGGTAGTAACTCTCGACTGGAGCTGCCATGCACAGGCCAACCGGCCTATTGCAAACTCCTTATTTTCTTATGTTCGTATGTAAGGGGAAAGACGTACAGTGGATACAACCTCCATCAAGGATAAATAGGAAGATGGTAAGATGGTTGAGGTATGATAGGAAGAGTGATAGATAGCCTTACATAACAACACGCTATATAGGCTAAATGACCTCCCAATCGTTACTAGAAATAAATTGAACTACTGTACGTCCATAGTTATGTGAGCAAGGTACTGATTTAGTTGTACTTTGTTTGTATGTATGAATGTATGTATGTATGTGTTGAACTACGATAGTCATTACTGGGGCAACAGTTCTTTTCGGGTATCAACATACTCTTTTATTATTTCAATTATTTTCCTTACTAAAATTTTTCAATGTTTATTATTATTACTACTACACCTCGAGAGTCATCACCTGTGTCATTTCGTTTGCTTATTCATGTCTTTCCTTTGGTCACCAGCGCTTGTTATCACGTGAATGAACAAAAATATATATTACTAGGTGACGTGTAAGGGAGTTACTTTCATGGAGCGTTATATGTGGTTGAATCAGAATTACAAAATAAATAAAATAGTATATCATGATAATGGTAAACCTTACTTCTATATCCTAATGTACTGTACAGTCCAGCACTGTACCACAGGGTGTAGTTAGTACTTCTCGGCTGCCGGTCCGTCGTAAGCGTGTGTCTGCCCCAGCTCGGGGATCTTCATCGGTATCAGACGCTTGTACAGCAGACACATTTCCACGAGTGTCAAGACCATCGATATTGTCAGAAAACCAAAACACCATCTAGTACCGAAGTCTGTGTACACGTAGGAGACGAAGACGGGGCCCATCACCCTGCTGAAGCTGCCCACTACAGTTATTATACTCATCCAAATGCCCTGGGGCTTGGGGCCAACCAACTTGGAGAATATAGACTGATTGATACCTGTTGCCACGGGATAACCGATAATGACGATTACGTAAGCAACTATGAGTTGGGCCAAGGGTAGCTGAGGTGTGTAAGTGCACCATATCTGAGTCGTTGGGCAGCCTGGGCCGCAGTCTTCAGTATCTTTGTCGAAAAGCAGTTGATCCATATTCTCGTAATCGTATACTTGCATTTCCTCGCTGGTGGCTATGGTGGTCATTTCTGTAGTTACGGTATCGTTATCTGTTGTACAGGTTTGGATAGGAATACGAGCGTCTCCCCAAGGCAAGAAGATGAAGGTGCCCACCACAATGGGTACAAGTCCCAGTATTATCATTACAGTTCTCTCATCGTATCTTTTGGCGAGAATTCCGTTGAGAGCGAACATAAATATGCAAATGAGTCCTCCGACGCTCAGGGCAGCACCGATCACTATCATGGCTTTGTCCTCCGTCCACGCGTACTGGTCCATAACGAAAGGCACAGCCAAGGTCTCCAGCAACACATAAATGAAGACAGCAGTGAAAAAAGAAAAGAGGATTCCTATCAGGGCAAGGTGATCAGGTTTGGGCAATTTTATTTGGTCATCCTTTTCCATGGAAGCCTTCAGTAAGGCACGTTCCTTTTCTGCAATGTTGTATTCCTGGAAGGAAATTAACGGAGGGATCATTATAAGTTCACTTTACGGGCGAGCATATTAATGAGAGGATAGGGGTCTTATAATGTAACGGAATAGGAAGTGTATACGATAATAACAATAAAAAATGAACTTTTTATGTCTGGTTATTAAGTGGGGAAGTGCGGGACAAGTTCTTCCATGAACTCACCTTGAAAATACATGGAAGATATAACACCAGGTTAATGAGGCCCAGAGCTCCTGCCACCCACCCGGCAGCTGTAAACTTGTTCCATAGTAGCCAATCGATCCCGGTGTCTACCTCATTTGGGATGAGTATCGTCAGCACCGCCTGAATACCTTCAAGAGAATGCGCCACTTGTAAACTCCTGGTATTAATGTCTTAGCTTTATTACAGATATTGTTAACTAGTGTTCTCACGATAAAGAATCCTACAGCCTGGTACTTACCAAGCCAATACTTAAAAAAAAAATTGTACTTGTGTTCATATTTCTAAATGTGCTGGGGTTCAGACCAATCCCCATCCTTGCCAAAGCTACATTTTCTATCAACACTGACGATGGAAGGGTTCACAAGGAACCACAGAATTAAATACATTACCAGTAACAATTTTAACAAAGGGACTGACCTGGACCTATAACGAACCCCAGAGCTTGTGAGCCCGACAAGATGGAGATGACGATGGTCCGCTCCTCAACAGTGGTCGACGCCGCCAAGTAAGAGCGACTCAGTACAATATTGGCTACGGACAGAGTTTTACGTCAGCCATATTTCATTTTCCAACTCATATTTTAAAATGTGTGATGGGCATAGGATAGTGCGTCCTATGAAGGGTATTATATAACCAAGAAGGGAACCATTTGACTAAGCATAAGGTAAGAAAGTCGAAGTTGCTTGAGTTAAACTGAACAGGAAAAGACTGAGTTTGTCTTAATTTTAAACAGTTGTTATTTTTTTCTTATGGATGGAAAGACCTGAGTGTACCATAAGTTCCCTAGAAAAGAAATGCGAGCAATGACACAATTCTACTACTAAAAAAAAAAAAAAAAAAAAAAATTAAGAATGATGATCTGGGACTAAGAGGAGAGGTCGTTCATGGACTACTCACTAATAGTACAATGACCATGGAAACAGACGGTAGGAAGGGATGCTATTAGACCTCGCTCGTGTACTGAGGATCAAGATTTTGACTCTCTACAACACAGGACTTAACCTTTGTTGGGTGTTTTGATATGAGGTGGGACATGAGGTACAATTAGTAAAGGAACTCCCTCTCAAAATATAGTTGTCATTCATGAGAGAGAGAGAGAGAGAGAGAGAGAGAGAGAGAGAGAGAGAGAGAGAGATATTCAAACGCTACCAACGTTAAGTGTTACAAGTTTCTTTTTTCAGTTTTGTCTGTAGAAGATTTGTTTGGTGGACTAGTGTAGGCCCATTGTAGAGGAGAGGGGAATGGAGTGTACATGAGAGGGGTATGGGGTGTACAGGGCGGCGATTTGAGCTAGCCATACTTTAAATATGATAAATATATTCTAAACCTTCTCATTAAAATTTTCTGTTTATCGTAAATTTATAACTTATGGAGACGTAAACTTCACCATTACAAAAACAAATGCTATCTTACCTGAGCTGACACCGGTCATGAACCTGGCGACTATCATGGCGTAGTAGGGAGCAAATTCACCCAGACCCTTGAAACTGGCCAGCAAGGAGTACATCACGTTGCCCAGGACGAAGAAGGAGAGGGTGATGTAACAAGGCAGTCTGGGTATTGGGAGAATATATAAGTTCAGTGTTAGTCATTTTTTTTGTAATTATTTTGTTTGTTATATTAAGTTTGTAATGTTAATGTTGCTGTATCCTGTTTTATGTTTTAGGTCTGACGATGTTTGTGTGTGTGGTAACCCTCTTACCTGATGCTGCCAGATTTGTTTCCCCATAATCCTACGATGGGTGACCCTATCATCTGACCTAAAGGGTTAGCCGCGACGACCCAGCCCAGAGACGTCTTAGACAAGGACGGTACCAGCTGTGTGAGGAAGTAGGGGTTTTAGCAAGTGGGTGAGAGGGAACAGAATGTGAGATACTGAAGAAAGTAGAGACGAATTGAGAAAGGTAAATTAATAAATAAGCACATACACACACACACACACACAAACTGACCTCCTCCTTAAGGTATGGCCAGACGCCGCTCAGGACTATCGAGAAACCGATAGACATAACAAACATGGTGGTGTAAGCGACCAGATGAGACCTCTTCCGAGCTACTTTCTCCCTAGGTATCTCCAGCAGCCTGGTGTGGTCCTCTTGGTAGGCGGGGGCGGTGTTCCTGCCAGGTGAGAAGATCAACCATGCGGGAGAGGAGAAAGAGGGAGGGAGTGTGCTACAGTTAATGGTAAAAGCTCTGGTACATGCGACATATTCATCAATATTTATCAGCATATACTTTTACATTATTAATTAAAATGAAAAATAATCTTGTTTTGATGTTTATAAAAAATTGACACAAATATACACCCACTTACTCGCAAATGATGGCAGGAATGGTGCCGTGACTCAGAGATCCCGTCATTTTGTGGAGGGGAATCTCGTCCATGGTGTGATCAATAATGAACGAGCCGTGTTTTCCTAATATCCCGCCCATCTTGACCGATTTCAGCCGAGAGCTCAAGTTACGATGATACTCAGTATTCGAAGGGCCTCAGTAGAGTGTACTGTCGAGTTTCTTGGACTTAAGAATGTGTCAGATTAGGTGATTAACCTTCTCAGTAGTCACGATTCGTCGTATTTTACTACAGTAATTGTGTATTTTGTTTAGGAGGAAACGTTTATTACATTCAGTAAAGAGAAATATTCTTTTTCTCGTGAAAAATTTATAACACTTCACGACACTAACACAAAACTGGTAACATGAAGACTATAAATCACTCAATATTTTTCATTCTCACTGAAACTAAAAAAATTGTCTCATGATAACTGTGGTATGATAAGATCAATCATGAGTGTGTCAGGTCTCTGGGCGCTGTATCAGGGTATATAGTTCGCTGTCACACGCTGTCAACTGCAACTGCCAGGGAAGACAGCCCCTATACCTCACCTGTGGAACCAAGAGTATTTTGTCAGAGATTTAGTAAGAGTTTATTCTCATTACGCTGTTCAGTGTTGTTCAGGAGCGTAATGAGAATAAACTCTTACTAACGTTTTATATATATATATATATATATATATATATATATATATATATATATATATATATATATATATATATATATATATATATATATATATATATATGGTTCTACACATGTCAATATCTGGATCGTATATGTGGAAAAACCGGCGGGGTGAGGTGAGATTATATATATATTTATATATACTAGCGGAATCGCCGCCCTCCGGGCCGCTCTTTCGCTAGGTCACGGTAGGACGCCGCCCTCCGGGAGGCTCCACATTGTCTCACTGAGGTGCATTAAGGTAGACCACATTTTTGGTTTTGCCATTAGCAGCAAGTATGTACAGATTTTTGCCAGTTCCCACTCTGGAGCATCCAACATAGAACTGTCCATGAGAGAAGCAAGGAAACACCAGGTTTAGGCCAACCATCTTTAGGGACTGTCCCTGGCTTTTGTAGATGGTCATGGCAAAGCTCACTTTATCCGGGAACTGAAGTCGCTTGAACTCAAATAGCAGGTCAGTGGTGATGAGAGGTATCCTTGGTATAAAAACGTCCTCACCTTTAGCTTTATTGTAGCTACTAGTACATGTGGCATCATGTTCTTCACCACCAGTCTTGTGCCATTGCAGAGGATTGGTGGTTCAAGATTTCTTAAGAGCATTATAGGAGTTCCAATCTTGAGAGTGAGGTGGTGAGGAGGCATTTCAGCGGGCTGCAAAGAATTAAGGAATTCTGCAGGGTACTGAACTGCTTGGTCCTGGTCGATTACTATATCAACTGATTTGAATGAGGTCTCACTGCCTGGGTAGAGCCATGTTGATTTCAGCCACTGTTTCATTCTTTGGTGACCAGAATTGCGCGTACATGCAGCCTCTTGAGAACCTTGTAGTGGTGGATAATGTTTGAGTAGACCATGTTAGTGAGCTCAGTTGAGGACTTTACAACATTTCCACATCCTTGAGGAATGATTATTTGACCTTCTGAATCAACAGGGAAAGTTCCATTCCCAATCTGTAGTAGAAGGTTTGCAAACCGTCCAGCATCCTGATCTCCTTGTAGATGTACTCTCATGTTTGTGGATAGGGTGAGTGTCTGAACACTTCTCCAAAGGTATGATGCCTTGAGGCACGCATTCAGTTCATCAGCTGGAGTGCTTCGAGGAATGACAGGTAGGGTCTGGCGAAAGTCTCCAGCAATGACCATTGTAATGCCACCCATGAACTGGTCATTTTCTCGTATGTCTTGCAAGGTCCTGTCCAATGCTTCAAACGCTAACTTGTGAGACATAGTGCATTCATCCCAGACTATGAGGCTGCATTTTTCTAAGAGTTTTGCCTTTGCTGATCCTTTTTGATGTTGCACACTGGATTCTCATTGTGAGCGAGGTTGAGAGGCAGTTTAAAAGTTGAGTGTGCAGTACGTCCTCCTTCTAGTAGTGTTACAGCAATGCCTTAGGATGCCACAGCAGGAGCAATTCTCCCCTGATGACGTACTTTGGCCAACAGAAGGTTGATCAAGAATGTTTTTCCTGTCCCGACAGGTGCATCAAGAACGATCATACCTCCCTGCTCCGCTTGTATCGCTTGCAAGATCTATTCATGAGCTATACCAGGTGAGTCATTTTCTTCAACAAAATTCACCAGAACTTCAACTGCGCAGTCTATCTCTCTGAGCAACTCCCTGTTTGCAGCTAATGGTTCTTTTCGGTTTGGGGAAGGCAATCCAAAATCAGTCAGGTTTTTTCCGCATAGCTCCATCACTTTGTCTTCCAGCATGATCAGAGCCCTGTTGAACATGTCATCCATGAACTCAATCTCTTGACCAGGATGTTCTCTTCTTGCTTGATGAAGCAGATCCTCTGAAAGACTATCCTGGTGTTTTTTCCAGGGCTAGCTTGGGTTGGAAAGTCCACATGTAGCAATCATGATGGCAAACAGGTTCCTCATTCTCATTGGCGATTGAGTAGCTGCTGCCTCTTCTAATGTGTCATTCCAAAGACCATCATCTTCCAGTAGGCCAAGGAAATGCACGCTTCCTTATAGGTTCTGCAGACTTGTCCATTCACTGTCTTGAGTGCTGCATATGATGTTGGGCCACGGATGTGGTGCAAAAGTAGTCTCAACCAATAGCATTCAAAGTTGTTGGGGTGAACCGTGTAGACACGTCCCAAAGCATTGCCTGACTTTGTCCCCGGATATCCTTCAACATCGGATCCTTGAGCTCTTCTCTGGAACTTTTTCATTGAAGCCTGCCATATGTGGAACTTGGGTACGTCAACATACAGGAGTATTTGAGCAAACTCATCTTCCTGTGAAAGCTTAAAGAATGCAGTGAGAGTCGTATCAGCAGGATTTGCCATTTGATTTGGTAGAGACTCTTCTGTGAAGTATACTCTTTGTCCATTTTCCAGGTGAACAGCCAGGTGAACTACTGTTGGACATCGTTCGTGTATGGGAAAACTAAAAATTCTCCATAGGGCTTCATTGCTGCATAAATAACGGCCCTGCTGAAACTGTGTCACCTCATCATGATTTCCATCCTTTTCCAATGCAAAGATCGCTTTGTCAGAGCCTTTGTTGACGTATCTGCAAACATACTTGATGGACTTGACTGAATTACAGAACTCCACATTGATGTGCGCATTGAATGCTTTACTCAAAAGAGGATTGTAGGGGACCACCCATATAACATATAACACCATCCATCATCACTACAGATCGGTAAAGTAGGTTCCGAGATTCTCGTGCGGACACAAACATACATACTTCCTTGTTATATATATATATATATATATATATATATATATATATATATATATATATATATATATATATATATATATATATACACTGTAGGTATGTAGCAACACTGTAAGCTCAGCGCACAGGATGCTGAATGCTGACCTCGGGAAATCTTCGCCGTCACGCCTTGTTGGCAGACAGGGATGTTGCCAACTTTCCATAAGAGAGAAGGTCATCAAAATCTTAGAATCAGTTATTGAAAAAAAAAATTGTACACCTCTTTGGATGACAAAATAAAGGTCACTCAACGTATAATGCCTCACTACGGGATACCCTAATACAGATAACACTTCACTGTTTTTTATTGTTTTTCTATTGTCATAAAACACTAATGACTTTGTTATGGAGAATGTGTATTTAGACCAGCTTGTCGTTATTCGTAACCACTTGCTGCAACCTTTGTTCTAATTTTTTTTGTAACAGATGTAACAGTAAATGTAACAGTAGTATAACGGTTTCTTTGTAGATTCGCTGCCATGACGTAGATAATAATTCTTCTTCTTTGTACCAGTATGCCACAGTAATGGGGAGAACATAATATCTCTACCTTTACCAACCGTGTATATGATGAGATGACTGTTAGTGTGATATAACAGTTACTTGTGAAACTGTCATATATGAAACAACCTTCCTGGGTTGTCACCACTTGTAACGATCACTTGAGAAGCTATTTCGGATGGAGTTCCACTGTGTATCACCGTAGGTTCATCACTGTAAAATATCTCAATGTAGCTAATGAGATGTTAACAGGAGATTTCACATGAGATGGACGGAGGCTATGTTAAATAGCTCTGCTAAGTACGTCCTGTCGATACAGTAATTGAGTGAGGGTGAGTAGTGACCCATCGAGGAAGAACGGAAATATATCGGTCGTCCTCCCTCGAGGGAAAACGGAACCATTCACGATGGCTCTCAATACGTCTTCCTCTCGTGAGCGCTAACGAACGACTCAATTGTCTGTTTTTTATTTACTTAAGGAGTATCTCAGATACATTTCCAGGTGGGTAACTCCATAAAACTTATCACTGTACCTATGAGTGTTAAGAGGAGGACGGAGGCTATGTTAATAGTCCTGCTAAATGAGTCCGGTTGGTGTGAGGGGTTGAGCAACAATGCCCATGAGTAGGAACCCATCGAGGGAGAACGGAAATATGTAAGTCTTCTTCCCTCAAGGGAAGACGGAACCATCTACGATGGCTCTCAATAACGTCATCCACGTCTTCCTCTAGTCAACGATATCAAACTACTGCCCGCACTAGGTAACCAGAGAGCCGGCTACTTAATGCCTGAGCACAGCACAGTTTGACGTGGCTTACCGTGGGTAGTACCCTCTGGGTACACCTTATCACATGCATTGAACATGTCACTTCATAGCCAGCGGAAAGTTACAGGGGGTGATAGAGTATAGTATATAAATCAAATGTAATTAACCCATTTATATATAATACTTCTGCCTATAAGACAGGGGGCTATTACACACACACACACATAAAATATATATACGTATATATACTGTATAGGTAGCAGGTAGCAAGCGGCTACCAAACAGGGAGGTACTACCACCTGGGAAGATATTGGAAGCATAATGTGTTGTCTAATGGTAGACCTTGCTGCCATATGGCATCACGAAAATTGTGACCAAGTCCCAGGTTGCTGATCTGACTTTCTGCCTCATTTACACACAATTGCGCAGTGGCGTAGCTAGAGCGTGTGCCGCCCGGGGCGGCCCTTGAGTTTGCCGCCCCCCCCCCCCGTGCCCCCACAAAAAATACATATTGCACCAATGCACAGTGACTCACTCTTATATATATATATATATATATTAAATAGTTTGTGTACCATTATAATATTACTGTACTTTCACATACTCAAATATAGTATGCTTTAAATACACCCCAAACATACTTAAACTTTATAAGTAACAGTTAAACAAAAAGCAAAAACGACATATAGGATCGGGAAAAAAGTAAAAAAGTGTAAAAAATTAGGAACATCTTTATTTCTGAAATGAAAACTACAACTTTCTACTAAGTAACTTTTCTTGTTTTTTTGTTGGCAAATTCTTCAATGACATTGTCAAAAACTATTTCATCTGTCAATTGTCGCTCTATAGACAGTATG